GGTGAGTCACGTGTGCAGCCGGCGGGAAAGCTGCGCCTTCTCTGGGGGCCTGTTCTTGGTGGGAGAGCGGGGTATGGACTACAGAGCGAACATTTAACCATACTGAGGGGCAAGGAAGAGAGTATTGTGAACGAGTAAAAGGTCTGCTTTAGGTGGCAGCTCAATCTCTGTATTTTTATGGGATTGACTCAAGATTTAAAGAGTAGGGGGCAGAGCCTTAAGGAAGAACTATCCGTTTTAATTTCAGTGGTCCAGCACAAGGTGAGTAAAAAGGTGAAAGTGACCAGAAGGCCGGTAAGTTCTGCAGAAGGCGGGAGTCCGGGACCAGCAGGTCTCCATTACCAAGTTTTGTTAGGCCTGACAGGTGTGACTCAGTGAACAGAGCCTTTGAGGGTCCCAGGTTCCATTCCGGTCAAGGGCAGGTACCTTGGTATCGGGCACATCCCCAAAGGGAGTGTGAGGGAGGCAGCTGATCAGTGTTTCTGACTCTCTGTCCCTCTCCCTTCCTCTCTGTAAAAAAATCAATAAAGTATATATATATTTTTTTAAAAAGAAGTTTAGTTAGGTTCAGGGCAAGCGAGAGGCTGCAAAACTGCCTAAGACATCTCATGTCCCCGCGGCAGACACCACGGGTGACCGTGTCCTTGTCCCGAGGCCCAAGCACACCGCTAGCGGGGAAGGACCCCGCCCCCCTCCCCCAGCCCGGGGGGACCGGGGCCCGCTCTCCTCCCAGGACTTCCGAGGCGCCTTTCCGGGGGCTCCGCTCCGGGCGGCCGAGCTGCACCCCCAGCCGCGGGAGAGGAAGCGAGTGCGGCCGCCCTCGGGGCGCGGGGCAGGGCGGGGGAGGGCCGGGGAGGGGCCGGGGGAGCCGGAGGCCGCGCGGCCGCTCCCGCCCCCGCCCCCGCCCCACCCACCGCGCGCCCCGCCGCGCCGCCGCGGGCGCCTGCGCTGTGCCGCGGCCCGCGCCCCGGGCCTGCCCCTCCCCCACCCGGGCGCCCCTTGCGCCGGCGCAGTGCCACGTTCCGGGCTGCGGCGGCCATGCTGGACCCGTGAGGAGAGGCGTGGGGGGGACAGGCCGGCGACAGCGGCCGGGAAGCCGGGTCTAGAGGAGCGGCGGCGTTGGGGCGCGCGGAGACGCTAGACTTAGGCCTGGGCCGGGCACTGCCCCGGGCCCCTCGTGCGACCCCGGAACCTTCGGGAAGCTGGCCCCCGGAGGGGGGCGGGCACGTGACTCGGGCCAGCCAATCCGGGCGTTGCTGACGTGTCCGCGCGGCCCCGATGATCTCCCCACCCCCCTACTCGACCGGGAAGGGAGGGGCGGGGGGCTACGCCCCCTCCCCCCACACAGCTTCAGTTTCCGGGGTGGGGGGTGACACCCCGGATTGCATCTTCCCCCCACTCCAAGCCGAGGGGAACACTGGATCCCCCCTGGAAGGTTCCAGGATCCAGGTAAGAAGGGGCCCTGGAGCGGGGGTGTTGCCAGTCATATCCGTGCTTAACCAGAGTTGGGGAGTCCGGGAGGGAGATTCTTGGGGTTCAGAGCGCCATCCTGAGGGTGGGTTTGCCCTTCAGATATTTCACAGCCAATGGGAGCGTGAAGGGGGGCCGGCAGGAGAGGCCACCTCGGGTGGGGGAGGGGAATGGCCAACCTCATGCCTCCATACCTACGGTATTGGAGGGCGAAGGGGACTGCGCCCCCCATTCCCCTCGTCCCCGGGGGGTACAAAGCCCGGAGGCCTTGGGCGGGCGGGGTGGGGGTGACCTGTGGGCTGAGGGGGGAGGTGACTGCGTGGGGGAAGGCTTAGAGGCCAGTCCGCGTGAGCCAGGCGGCCCGCGCCCGCTCCCCGCAGCCCGGAGCGCGCCCTGCGCCTTTGTGTGGCGGCGCCGCTCGCGTGGTCACATGGCGCCATCCGGTGTGCGCTTCGAGCTCTTATCGAGGCTGCGCTCACGTGGGCACGGCCTGCGGAGCCTCCCGCACAGACCGCTGTGCGCCGCTGGTCGCACTGAGCATGTGCTTACCCCCGGCCGGGCCCGGGCCTGTGGGGAGCGGAAAGCAGGCCCAGGGTGGCTGCAGGGAGGCGGGCGGTGGCGTGGCCCGGAGCGGGGGAGGGAGGCTGGGGACCGCCGAGATGCCACAGCTCCCGGGTCTCAGGTTTCTCCAGGGTGGCGTCCTCCGCCTCCCTCCCCTCCCCCTCCCGAACAGTTCGCTCCCTGTGCTGCGGGGGAGGGAGCGGAAAGGAGGGAAGAGCTGCTTTTCCAAGTCACTGAGGAGCTGTGGCCTCCGGGGTGACTCACGGGGGGAAGGGAGGCTTGAGGGGGAGGGGAGCGGTGGTGTTGCGGAATGCAGCCGCAGTGATGCCTGGCTGCCCTTTCGCTTTCCAAGGCCCAGCACTTGCCCTCCTGAACGTTCCTCTCGGGCTGCCTCCGCAGGCCTGCCAGGCCGGCGGCGAGCACGGGGGCTGGGCGGGGGGGCGGGGGGGCGGCGGCTCCGCAAAGTTGCTGTGTCATTGCCCTCCCGCCGCCGCGGCGGCCCGCGTGCTCTCTGGGGGCCGAGGCCCGGCCCCGGCGGAAGGGGGGCCGGCAGGTCTTCCTCCCCGGGGCGCACTCCCCCGCAGGGTCTGCCCGCCCGGGAGGTGGTGAAGACAGGAGATGGACGGCCATTTTAGACGCAGTAACGAGGTCAAGGCTCAGAACTACTGCCGAGGGAGGGCGACGGGGTTGGAATTCAGGGATCTAGGCCCTCGGGAGCCCTTCCGAAGGGAGGGGGCCCATGTACTCGTGGGCTTGCATTAATTTCCTTCCTGACATGCAGTCTGTTTTCTTGGGTGTCCAGAAAAGGGGAAATGGGAGCGGGCGGGATTTCCTCTCCTGTATGGGGACGGGGAGCCCAGGAGACCTTGGCTTCAGAGAGCCTGACCTTGCCGTGCTCTTGATTCAGTCCATCCGTTGCCCAGCCCTATTCAGACGACCAGACTGTGGGAAGACTTAAATGCGTGGCTTGGGGGGAGGGGGCGAAACTGAGCTCCCAAAATGGCTCCTGCCCCTCCTCGGAGGCGGACGGCCCGGGGGGAGGGGAGAAGGGGAGAGGAGGAGGGGGAGGGCTGCTGAGCCGCAGCGGCCGCCTCCTCCGCTCGCCCTCCTCCCTGGCGCTGACCGAAGGACCGCCGCTCCGTGGGGAGGACTGCGGACCCCGGTGGGGGATGGGGCCGTTCCGCCCGCCCGGCGGAGGGGCCCTGACGGGGTGCGGCTTTCCCTGGGCGGGGGCAGTCCGAGCGCTCGGCCCGGGAAAGGTGTTCTCCGGGACTCGCCCCTCGCAGGACTTGTTTTTTCCGCTCTGAGCCAGACGTCGGAATGAAGTTTGGGGAGGTGGGTTTCATGTATAGGTGTGTTTCCAGATTTTGGCCCCACCGTGGGGCTGCTGAGATTTGGTCGAGCCCGCAGGTATTTGTATTCATAAAGTGTGAGTGGGTAGTGATCGGAGATGTGCTTGGGGTGCAAGGTTTTGGAACGAATTCTAGGTTTTACCTTGTTGGTAGAAGCGTGGGGGCGTTTTTTGCCTTTGTCTTTATGTTGCTTGACCTGGGGGAGGGCAGGGACTATTTTAAGACTCTGGTAAGCCTGTGTTTGTTTTTTATTGTGGGACATGGAGACTTTGGATCCCGTCTCCGCTACTTTGGGGGCCCTTAGCAGTTTGCCAGAGCACCAGGCCGTGGCTTTAAGATGGCGTCTTCTTCCTCGTTTCAGATTCTCCACTGCCGCGGCCTCCCTGTCGAGAACAATCAGCGGGCGGCGCCCTGCGGCCACACCCAGCCGCCGAGGTTGGCTACGCCCCCGCGGCCCCCCCAGTCCCGCGGCTCTGGCCTTTGGAGGAGCTACGAATGGCCCGGCCCGCCCGAGCTTGGCAGTCGCCGGTCGCACCGGGCCCGGAGGCCTGGGAAGACTTCGTTGGAGAGGGAGGTGGGGAGGGGGTGCTGCACCCCGCCATCGTCCTTCCCCTGGAGTCGCCGACCCTCAGCGCAGCCAATTGGCTCAGCGACATGGCCGCCGCTTCCCTGAGGGCGTATGCGGCACTCTTCTGCCCGGTGACCGGCGCGCTGGGAACCAGGTTTATGACGTAACCGCTCCGGCGGGCCAATAGAAGATGCTCCCGCGGAGAGGCGTTCCTCCCCCTGCGCCTGGACGGCTTCCCGGGCGTGCGCGCGCGCCGGGGGTGGGGGAAGTCTCGAGCGCGGTGGCGCGCATGAGCGGCGAAGCTCCGCCCCCCCGCCTATATATAAAGGGCTGGCGCGGGGCTCGGCGGCGCCATTTCGCGCTGGAGTGGAGCAACCTCTAGAACGAGCTGGAGGATTCTGCCTACCGATACAGAGCTTTCCAGTCGTCGGGGCCCGCCATTGCAATCCACATCCATCCGCTTGGAAATGGCCTTCGTCTCGGCCTATGACCGTTCCCGGCGGACAGTACAGACCCCATAGAAGCCCCCGGAGCTCCCCTTTTTCGGGCCCCGCCCAGTCCTCGGAATCTGTCCACCCCCTCTACTCCGCCCTCAAGAGGATTTCAAAGATGGAGGCGGCGGCTCCTTAAACCACTTTCTGTGTTCATCCGCCTCCATCGAGATTGAAACGGGACTTCGTCCGGCCCGGACAGTCCCCGCAGGAAGAGGGGATTCTTGCAGACCAACAGCGGGCAATATTGACGGACGGTGTCTGGGACCGGGGGCCTTCCTAGGGTTGGAAGAGTCTCCCCCCTCGCTCGCCTGCCTCTGCTGAGGCCGCCGCCATTTTCTCGCTGTCCGCCGCCTGCAGAGCGCGCCAAGCTATCGGGAGCTTTCGTTGGAACAGCGGAGGAGATTTTCTCGCCTGCCCGGTGGGGGGGTTGTCGCCTGGAAGGCAAGGGCAGCGGCCCCCCCTACTTGCCGGGTTATGCTGGACCCGGCGGCAAGGGGAAGCGAGGCCACCCGGACTTGCCGCGGCTGAGTGCAGCGCCGGTTCCCCGCGGTCAAGATGCTGCAAAACGTAACTCCCCACAAGTACGTGGTCGCGAGCGGGACGGGCGTTGGGGGGCTGCGGCACGGGGTGCGGGGTCGGGAACACGGAACTGACTTGGGCGCGTTGCTCTTCCGTGGCGCGACTGTTGACTCGGGGCGCGCGGAGGGGCTTGAGCGACGGTTTTGGAACTGGTCGTGCCCCGGCCGCTGCGTATGGAGGGAGGACAGGTTGTCAATGTCTCTGCCACTTGCTCGGCGGTGGCCCAGTCTTAACCGAGTCGGTTCCAGCTAGGTTGGCGGCGGAATGTAATGGGGAAGGACCACATTGATGGGGCTGCAAGTAGTGGGCCTTGTGTTTAGCAACGGTTTTTCAGTCCTTTTGAGGTGTTCCCGGCCACAGCCAGTGCCTTACAGGGTTGCCATGGTGACAGCTTCAGGCACTGGCTACGGGAATTCCCAGAGTGGGGTAGAGGGATTATTGTTTAGCCTGTGGGTTTTTGTATCTGGGCTGGGTCATTAAACCCCTGCTTGTCTTACAGTGACTGGGTCGGTTTTGTGTGGGGTGTGGAGGAGTGTTTTGTTCGGTGGAGGGGACGTTTTGAATATCCTTGAGTTTCGAGGTGGGAGGTGGAACTAAGGACTCCTGTCTTCGGGTGTCAATAAGATCTCAGGGTAATGATCTAATCTTGGGCCTGAAACACCTGGTCCAGAGGAGCTCCAAGGAGAATGTAAAGCTGGACCACTGTTGGCCTTGAGTCTCCAGAGTTGATGCTCCAGTAGGAACTGTTGGAATCTTGTTTTTTGGCAAGGTGGGGGCGATGGTCTAACCCTCTCGTGACCTTGACTGGGCAGCTCTATTTTTTGAAGCCCTTGGAGCGAGGAAACTTGATTTGCCAAAAATTCTGGGGGCTGGCAGATGGATTATTCCCGGCTGTGAAGTCTGACAAATACGCTCCTTGTCTGATTTTCTTTTTTAAGTTGGTATGGTTTTCCGTTAGATTTCCGGGGTCTGTTTTCTACTTTGAAGTTAACTATGCAGAGCATGTGAAAGACGCTGATCTCTTCTGCCCTCGTGGATTCTTAGCTGTCTCGTCAGCATTTATGAAATTCTCCCTTTTTCATTCCCTTCCTCTTTTCACCTGCTTTCCCCAGGCTCGACCACCATGGCAACCATTAGGCCCCTAGTGGGTGAGGTCCTTAGGCTTGGGGCTTGAGTTTCTAGGCTCCACCCATTTTACTTAGGTCTCTTCCCCATAAGCCTGTGGTTCTCAAGTTATGTCCTAAAAGAAACCATTTGTTTGTGTTTTTTTCCTAAGTAATTTTAAGAAACCAGATAATAGAACCTATCAGACTCCAGAAGGTAGGATCTAAGTACGTGTGCTAGAAAAACGGAAACAAAAACATGGGGATGGGGGACAAGAACAAAATCTCTGAGGATGTTTGAGGTACTGGTTGTAGTTAAAATTGCCTACCTCTCACTAGTTCCCAAGCCTGGATTTATTGGGCGTGTAGTGTAAATGACACTCTTCCCTGGTTTCTATAGCTTGCCACATCTAATTTTGTTTCCCATTTTCACAGGCTCCCTGGGGAGGGGAATGCAGGGTTACTGGGGCTGGGCCCAGAAGCTGCAGCGCCTGGGAAAAGGATTCGGAAACCCTCCCTGTTGTATGAGGGGTTCGAAAGCCCCACAATGGCTTCAGTGCCAGCTTTACAACTGACCCCTGCCAACCCACCGCCCCCGGAGGTGTCCAATCCCAAAAAGCCGGGCCGGGTTACCAACCAGCTGCAGTACCTGCACAAGGTGGTGATGAAGGCTCTGTGGAAACACCAGTTTGCGTGGCCCTTTCGGCAGCCTGTGGATGCTGTCAAACTGGGGCTGCCGGTGAGTTGAGGAGTTGAAGTGGGGAGGTGTGGGGATGGACCAGGATGTGTGTGAGTGGGGGTGGGCTGTCTAGTATAGTTGCTGCGGCCCCTAGGGATTTCCCATCCCCTCCCATTGAGCAGATAGCCACCAAATTTCTGAATTTTTGGTCCTTTGCCATTGATCCAACAGTTTGCTCTCTTGGCATTTATCTTTGTGCCCTCCGTGTGTCCTTAACTTTTGTGCCCTGGCTCCATTTTACAGATTCCCACCCCTGGTTGGGAGAGGACCACGGTGGCCAAAATTCTTAGCTTCTTCCTCTCCCTCATGCAGCCCATGGATAGCCAGCCCCAGAGGTAATGTCACAGGATGGGAAACCTTGCCGAGTGGGTGGGAGGTATGGGTGGTTAGAGAAAGACAGTAGGGGCCTCCTGCTGGGTGTTAATCCTATTCCTTTTTTTTTTTTTTTTTCTGTCCTGTAGTTTAAACAGGGGCCGCAGTTTAGGGGACCCTGTACTCCTATGACACAGGGTATGTGTGTGTGTGTGTGTGTGTGTGTGTTGGAGGATCAGTAATTTGCTTAAGAAACGGGTATGCATTTTTTGATGGCTCTGACCTTTTTGTTTTGGTTTTTGTTTTTGTTTTGGTTTTAGGATTACCACAAAATTATAAAGCAGCCTATGGACATGGGTACTATTAAGAGGAGACTTGAAAACAACTATTATTGGGCTGCTTCAGAGTGTATGCAGGATTTTAATACCATGTTCACCAACTGTTACATCTACAACAAGGTGAGTTTTTCTTGTGTGTTCACTAATAGACAGGAGAGATGGTGTTTTCGTTGCTGGAGTTTTGTCTACACAATTCCATTACCATAGTAGTCAGGATCTAGAAAATATGATTCCCTAGGGTACCACTACCCCGTGGTGTGGCTTCCGAAATCCAGGGTTAAAGATCAAGTAGAACAGACACTCTTCATAGTTGGGGGTGGTGGCCCTGTTAGAAATTCCTAGAGATCTGAAAAGAGCAGGATCTGCTTTCCTTGTCAGATCTCCTTCCCTTATTTCTGAATTTTCTTTCTTGGTTGCATTTGAGGGACAGGGTTGAGAAAGAAATTGAGAATTAGTGTCCCGCGTAGGTAATTTTTAGTTCTTCATGACAAACTTAATCTACAGGATCTACAGGTGATGATGCCTGAAGCTAGGAATTCCTTTGAGGAAAGTAACCTATTTCTTGCTTAATATTTGAACCTTTTTGTCTGTTCTCTGTAGCCCACTGATGATATTGTCCTGATGGCACAGACGCTGGAAAAGATCTTCCTACAGAAAGTGGCATCAATGCCACAGGAGGAACAAGAGCTTGTGGTGACTATCCCTAAGAACAGCCACAAGAAGGGGGCCAAGTTGGCAGGTAGGAAGAGTCTGGGGTTTTGCTCATGGGGGGCCAAAAGATGGGGAGGATGGTCAAACTAACCTTTTTTTCTCTTTTAGCACTCCAGGGCAGTATCACCAGTGCCCACCAGGTGCCTGCTATCTCTTCTGTATCTCACACAGCCCTGTATACTCCACCTCCTGAGATACCTACCACTGTCCTCAACATTCCCCACCCGTCGGTCATCTCTTCTCCCCTTCTCAAGTCCTTGCACTCCGCCGGACCCCCGCTCCTTGCTGTCTCTGCAGCTCCCCCAGTCCAGCCCCTTGCCAAGGTATACACCCATGGGTTTCTTTCGGACAACCGGGAGGGAAAGCTTGATTGAGGTGGACTGAGGTAAAAGGCTCCTGTCTTGTTTTTCTTTGCAGAAAAAGGGGGTAAAGCGGAAAGCAGATACTACTACCCCGACACCTACAGCCATCCTGGCTCCTGGTTCCCCAGCTAGCCCCCCTGGGGGTCTTGAGCCAAAAGCAGCACGGCTTCCCCCTATGCGCAGAGAGAGTGGCCGCCCCATCAAGCCCCCACGCAAAGACTTGCCGGACTCTCAGCAACAACACCAGAGCTCCAAGAAAGGAAAGCTGTCGGAACAGTTGAAACATTGCAATGGCATTTTGAAGGAGTTACTCTCGAAGAAGCATGCTGCCTATGCATGGCCTTTCTATAAGCCGGTGGATGCTTCTGCTCTTGGCCTGCATGATTACCATGACATCATTAAGCACCCCATGGACCTCAGCACTGTAAAGGTACCCACTGCATGGGGCAGATGGGACATGCAGGCAGTGATCGGAGCCAGGGAATCAATAAAAACTCAGTCACCTCCTACGGGAACAGCAATCTGTGTTTTTTAGGATTTTACTTTTACAAAATAGTAACGTGGCAATCAGTCAAGTGCTTGATAAGAGTCCCTATTTTCTGGAGTTTGAAATTGTATGGTGGGTCTTCAGAGCAACTGTATACATTTAAGTCCTGCTTATTGGGGGTATTGGGTTAGGGTAGTTAAGGGGTGAAGGATAGCCAGGGGTCAGTGACCCCTGTTACTTCAGAAGGATTTTTTTCCCCTAAACATGGATATTTCTTCAACCCACCCAAATTCTTTTGACTTCAAACTTGAACCCCAGGGCACAGATCCTTATCACCCCCACTGTGCTCTCAAGAGGGCTGCTCTTGCGGTGTCGGGTTGGCAGGGAAAGGTGAGTCTCCCTGCCTGTGCAGCTTCTGATGCTGCCTCCTTCTGCAGCGGAAGATGGAGAATCGGGATTACCGGGATGCCCAGGAGTTTGCTGCTGATGTGCGGCTCATGTTCTCCAACTGCTATAAGTACAATCCCCCAGACCACGATGTTGTGGCCATGGCACGAAAGCTACAGGTGAGTGTCAAGATTGGAGTCGAGAAGGACTAGGTCTGGGGAGAGAATTTTGTCATCTGCACTGTCAGTCTTAACATGAGGGTCTCTTAATCCTTCCCGTTGTAAATTGGAGCCCTGTCACCAGGTGGCTGGGTGCAGTAGGGCATTATCCCCAGCATGGTTTTGAATCAGCCTCTCTTTCTAGGACGTATTTGAGTTCCGTTATGCCAAGATGCCAGATGAACCGCTGGAGCCAGGGCCTCTGCCAATCTCTACTGCCTTGCCTGCCAGCCTGGCCAAATCATCTTCAGAATCCTCTAGTGAGGAGAGTAGCAGTGAGAGCTCTTCCGAGGAGGAGGAGGAAGAGGAAGAAGAGAGTGAAAGCTCTGACTCCGAGGAAGAACGAGCTCATCGCCTGGCTGAGCTGCAGGAACAGGTACTTCTGTCTGTTCAGCTCATTAAGACATTATTGCCTTTCTTTGCCCTTTTTTTCTTCTCTTGGTCTCTTCGAATTGTTCTACTTGATGTATTTTTCGCATTTCACATCTTGATTCTTTTTTTCCTTTCTAGCTTCGGGCAGTACATGAACAACTGGCTGCCCTGTCCCAAGGCCCAATATCCAAGCCCAAGCGGAAGAGAGAGAAAAAAGAGAAAAAGAAGAAACGGAAGGCAGAGAAGCATCGAGGCCGAGCTGGGGTAGATGAAGATGACAGGGGGCCTCGGGCACCCCGCCTCTCTCAGTCCAAAAAGTCCAAGAAGGCCAGCGGCAGTGGGGTTGGCAGTGTTGCTACACTAGGTCCCCCTGGCTTTGGACCTTCTGGAGGAAGTGGCACCAAGTGAGTTGTAACAGGAGAATGCATCCTTCATTCCTTAATGTTTTCTCCTGTGAGCCGCCAGGTGACAGACAGACTCTGAGGAGCACAGGGTCTCTCAGAGCTACTCAACACTTGACAGTGGGAAAGTAGCCATAGGCAATAAAGATATGAACATGAATATATGTTCCAATAAAACTTCATTTACAAAAACAAATGGCACAGGCTATAGTTTGACTACCCCCTTCTCTAAACCAGTAAATGCATACTTTTTCTTGTTTTCCATGGTAAAGGTTGGTTAATAGTGATTTGGGGAAGAAAGATGTGCTCACACAAGCCAGCATACCTATATCTAGTTCACAAAGCCCAGAATAAAATAGTTGGCATTCTCTAATACAGTGTCCCAGTAGCCCACCTCTGACTTGACTCATATGTCTTAATGAAAACCAAGCTGCATCCTAGGCAGGAAGTCTAAAGAGCATGGTGTCACAACAAGAGTAAGATACAAAAAAAAAAAAAAAAAACTTTGCTAGTATAAACATAATTTGTGACAAAACCATAAAAGGGAAGGCAGTAATGGTCTGAACGGGCAAAGGAGGAAAGAGATCAGATGTATTCAAGCCACTGTATATATGCAGCTTCATTTTTTTTTCAAATCTAATGGTAACCGTACACAAAAATCCCCAAACCAGGACACAGCTTAAAAAAACGAAACCTAACACAAAACAGAGACATTATTGGATTGAACAGTAGGAGCCTGATCAGTGAGGGTTAAAGGATGCTTCTCTAATTGAGAATTTTCTTTTGCTTGTAGACTACCCAAAAAGGCCACAAAGACAGCCCCCCCTACCCTGCCTGCTGGCTATGATTCGGAGGAAGAGGAGGAAAGTCGGCCCATGAGTTACGATGAGAAACGGCAGTTGAGCCTGGACATCAATAAATTACCTGGGGAGAAGCTGGGCCGAGTTGTGCACATAATCCAAGCCAGGGAGCCCTCGTTACGTGACTCAAACCCGGAAGAGATTGAGATTGATTTTGAAACTCTCAAGCCATCTACGCTTCGAGAGCTTGAGCGTTACGTCCTATCCTGCCTTAGAAAGAAACCACGGAAGCCCTACAGTGAGTATGGGCGGGACCGCCCGTTTTGGGGAGAGTCCCAGGACGGTTTAGAAAGGCGGTAGTGGTGTGCGTACTTGGTGTACTCCTGTCAGCTGTCAGGATGGAAGGTTCTTGGCAACATGAGGGTGCCGTGTCTTAGGCCTGATCTTCTCTTTTCCAGCCATTAAAAAGCCTGTGGGAAAGACAAAGGAGGAGCTGGCTTTGGAGAAGAAGCGGGAACTAGAAAAGCGGTTACAAGATGTTAGTGGGCAGCTCAATTCCACCAAAAAGCCCCCCAAGAAAGGTGAGTATCCCGTTCACCCCTGCAAGGTCACTCTTCTGCTAACTTGACTGACCCTTCACAAACGGAGACCCGACTTACACATCTTTAACTTTGTCCTGCAGCGAGTGAGAAAACAGAGTCGTCATCTGCTCAGCAAGTAGCAGTGTCACGCCTCAGCGCTTCCAGCTCCAGCTCAGATTCCAGCTCCTCCTCTTCATCTTCCTCCTCTTCGGACACCAGTGATTCAGATTCAGGCTAAGGGCCCAGCCAGATGGGGCAGGAGGCTCCGCAGGACCGGACCCTTAGACCACCCTGCCCCCCACCCCTTCCCCCGTGCTGTGACACTTGCTCATCTCACCCACTCCCCCCACTGTAGGAGAGCTGGCTCTGCAGGGGGGAGGGATGCAGGGACATTTGCCGGAGGAACATAATGGACAAAATAAGGTTCCCAGCCCCATTGAAAGTGACCTCTTGGGCATAGGGCCCCATTCAAAATGATTGGGGCCGGTCGGTGGGAGTGGGCAAAGACCCCAATGGGGGTTGCCTTGAGGCCGTAGCGGCCCTGTTGTGAGGTTGGTGGTTCTAATTTATTTAAGCTAGGTAAGGCTGAGGCGCGTGGGGCCGTGGTCCCTTTGGCCTCCGTGGGGAAGGAAGAAGGGGGAGCTCATTTTTTACGTTGACATTTTTCTACTCTGTTTTCCCTTTTTCTTCTGCTCCATTTGGGGCCCTTGGGGGTTTCTGTCATCTCCCCATTTGGTCCCCTGGATTGTCTTTGTCTTTGTTGATTCTAACTTGTAAATAAAGAAAGTATTATTCAAGTTTTGCGCTATCTTAACATTTGTTTCTGGGGTGTTTCAAAAAGAACATGGTAAAATTATCTTGAGAATTTTGAGAAACGTATTTTTGAGGTGAGAAGGTAGAAGTTATCCTGTAGTTGGATAGTGTTTTGGTTTTTATACAAACCTGTAGGCAGTTGCTGTCGGGCTAAAAGGAAATGCCTCTGCCCATTGTAAAGTGAGTCCTGAAGAGTGATCTCTGGGTTCATGACTCCTGCCAGGTTAGGTGAGCAAAGCAAGCCCTTTGGCCCCTGCAGCAGACAGGTTTTCTGCAGCGCTGTGTGGGCGGAATGGGAATTTGCTACTTTGGCTTCGGATTATAGATTGACAGGGCCTGGCATAGTTTACTAATACAATGACAACTGAGCGTTCCAGTCACAGAAGCACCTCCACAAGCCTAACCCCTTGTCTTGCTCTAAGGGGAGGGGCTGGTATAGTTCAGGAATCTGGGACTTTTAGGATCTGGAATTTGGGACTTAACAGACTAAAAGGAAGACCTCTAGCTTAATGTAATGGGCCATGTAAGAACCTAGATATTGTAATAAAAACTGAATTGGGAATTTAAAGCAAATGGCTTATTCCCCCATAAGTATGCTGGAAGAAAGAAGATGGAGATGGTAGTGAAGATTTTAAAAGTGATTTTTCAACCCTGCTTACGTATTTGAACCAAGAGCTTATTAAAACAATGCAATTATTTCTATATTCTATGGTTATGAATTCTCAGCAAATTGGGGCCTGCGCAACACTTTTCAAAAGCTCAGGAGATGGTGATGTGCAGCAGGATTGAAAATTATTTAGTGTTGTTCAAAGTCCTTCACTTGGTTTTCATGGGGAGGAGACCCCCGGAGTGGGCTTTTTGGCCAGCCTAAGTGGTGCTTTGAGTGCCCTCAGCTAGCCCCCCCTTTGAGTTCTCGTGTTAGGAAATACTTTGAAAACTAGAGGTACTTTACCAACGTTTGTGTTAGTGGGCTAGGATTTAAAAGTCTTAGGAATAAACGTGGAGGTGACAGGTTTATTTAGATTCTTGTCTAGGACTTCAGGCTGATGACAAGGCAAGGCTTTGGAAGAGAAGGCAAGTTCTAGGAGGAATAAAACAGGAAAGGGCCCAGCTGTGAGCTGGATTGGCCCCAAGGAAGCAGCCATTGGCCTGAGTCCAGGAGCGGGGCAGCTTTGTGGACAGGACAGTGGGCGTGGTTCACAGGTCGCCGGGAGTCAGCTGGCATTTCAGAAGGAATTTCATGTTTGAGTTGGATTAGTTTGGGGAGGAGACTAGTTACAGAATCTTAAGGCAGACTGTAGTTCTATGCCTTATGTTCATAAACTCAAGATGCTTTTTATTATAGTTTGGAAAAATAAAAAATGTCAACTATCAAATGTTAGGTATGTTTCTAACATGGTACCTTTGGAGGCACCTTAGTCTAGGGTCCTGTACCCGGACTTGAGGACCGCTGTGAGTCTGTGAGAAGAGCCTGGCTTGTCCTCTAGAAAAGGCTGAGACTGGGGACGTGGCCTGGCCCTGTGGCTCACCCCCACCCTGCCAGGTTAGGCAGTTTACATAGCACGTGGATTTCCTCACCAGCAGCCTTTTGGTCGAGTCCCTGCCTTGTTCGCTGAACCTTGAGGTTTCAGTTTGAGCCAGTCTGTCCTTGATTCACTTTCTCTGTTAGTCCAAGCCCCAGCTCTACTCTCTCCTGCCGTTTGGACACTGTAGTGGTTACAGGAGACAGACTGAGTGCTATACTGTTGGGATAAGGCCTCCCACAGTAGCTGGTCTGCCCAGCTGGCACTGGGGGCTGGGATTGGAGGGGTCCTTCCCAGAGCAGCCCAGCTCTTGCGGTCCTGACCTGACCACGGCTGCTGCTTTTTGTTTCTCCCTCTCATGCCATCTGCTCCCCTTGAATCCTATATAATAAAAGGCTAATATGCAAATAGACCGAACTGCCAAACAACTGAACAATTGGTCGCTATGACATGTGCTAACCACCAGGGGGGCTCATGCAGAACGTGGTCTTCAGCTGCAGCAGGATGGTGGAGCAGGTGAGCAGGGGCACCAGACCAAGACAAAGCGCTTGGTCACTGTCAATCGGGATGAACCTCTGGTGGTTACTGAAAATTCTTTGCCCCCACATGCCAAGGTCTACCAGGCACTCGCACCTGCTGCCAACATCGGAGCCTCTGCTTTCACTCACAGCCAGCACCAGCGTTGGCCTCAATTGGTCAGCAGGTGCAAGCTACAGCTGTGGCCCTAATCGCCCCTCGGGCCTTCTCCGCCTCCCCCTCCTGAGGGGCAATAGGGGCAGCAGCTGCCACCTGAGTGGCGCTGGCTCTCATCCACTGCTGTCACATGAGCGGGGTGGCACTGTCAGTGCATGGGAGCAGAGGCAGTGGGAGGGGCCAGACGGTTGCGGAGGAGGAGCTGAGACCCGCCCCTGTGCCTACAGCAGCCTCCAGGCCCACAGTTCCTTTCAAGGTGCATGAATTTGTGCACTGGGCCCCTAGCGTTTCCACAGAAAGTATTTATTCAGTTGACATCTTTTGTTGAGTTTCCTTGCCTGCTTTTCATTTCCCAAGAAGCTCTACTAAGTTGGGGGGTAGGGATGTAAATGGAAGACGGGGCCCTGTCTTCAAGAAGCTTGCTCTATCATAGGGTTCGATTATTATTAATCATGGAAACTGGTTTTACTGGTTGGCTTCCATATGTGACCCCAGTCCCGCCCTGCAAACCTTTCTCTCAGGTCCGTTCAGGACTGTCCTCATTGGGCTCCCAGGACGAGGACCAAAGATTCGGGGGAGGGGGGAGTCCAAATAGCTAAGGGAGGTCTCCCTGAGCAACGAGAGGGACTGATAGCAAGGGGGAAGATGTTGGAATGGTAGGTGGGAACTGAGCTGACGTTTCCATGATCTCACATCTTTGCTAGTCGCCTTTCCAGATCGCTTTGGTGCAAGCTCTTTCCAAATTCCCACTAACTGGCCTCCAGCCCCAAATGAGACGGCTTTCTGCCCCATGGTTGGTGTGCTGGGAGTGAGGAAAGGGGCAACATCAGGTAGCTGCAGGGTGGTTTTGTAATTATAAATGGTCTTAGCAGCACAGTATGCAAAGATCTAAAACGAATTCCTAGGAGGGGGTTCTGATCTGAGAGATGGCTAATCAGAGATGAGAGCTCGCAGCTGACAGGTGAGTGATGGCGGCTGGGAGGAGGCGGGGCGTAAACTGTCCGCAGAGGAAAAGAGATGGGAAATGGCCAGAATGCAGGTGGCACTGAAGCAGCAAGAATGAAGGGAGTGCTTTCAGAAAAGTGGGCGAGTCACAATAAGGACTTGAATTGTTATCCCAAAAATCTATGCCAAGCACACAACTTACGAAAAGATAGAAACTGTAAGCTCATTTCGTCCTCATTTTGACTCTGTGAGGTAAGTCATTCTCTCATTTAACAGATGAGGACATGAGGCACAGAGAGAGGGTATGGAACTTGCCCAACGTGGCCACAGTGAGTGCTGGAGGGGGGACTTGAACCCCAATACCATGGGCTGGTGGGCATCGAGGAGACATACTTGGAAGCAATTGCTGTCAGGAGCCGTGGGTTGTGGGTGGCGGGATGATGCAGAGTGCTCATTTAAAGCAGCTGTCACGCTCGGTCCACCAGTGAGGAGGTTTGGCAGGGAGAGCAGCGATGGAGACGCAGGGACAGGCACAGGCCCGGAGCTTGCAGTGTGGGCATCTGACTGAGTGACTGAGGAGTGTTAGTGCCGGCTGGCGGCTGGGAGACACGTGGTAAAACAGACACAGGTCTCTGGCGCCACCTGGTGAGCATGACTTCCTCCTGAATCTAGTTATTTTGTGCCACCCTCCCCTCTGGGTTCTTTCCTTCCCTTTTTCTTTCCCTGTTAGTTTAAGTTTGAAGCACGAGTCTCTCTGAAGTGCCTCCTGGGCTTCCCCGGCTCCTTTGACACCACTCCTCCCCTCACATGGCCCTCCTCCTCGGTGTGGCCAAGGTCAGGCTCAGCCTCCCAGGAGATGCTGTGCTCCCTTTGGTTCTCTTCTCGCTCGCACCTTGTTGCTAAGCAATTTGACTCATTTGTCTGTAGGCAACGCCCATCCATGAGCTCCGCCAGACCTTGCTCGAAAGTCGTAAGTCTGTTTCTCAGCTGCCTGATGGCGATGTCCCATGGGCGCCGGCACTCAGCTCGATTTCCCCCCTCAATGTGTCCCTCTGAGGGTCAATTAGCGTATTCCCTCTTTATTAGATAGGATGGGCCTGCTTGGGTTCTCCCACGCTGCTTATTGCTACTGGGCCTTGGCACATGCTGTTCTCTCTGCCCAGAATATCCTCTCCCATCAGCAAATCCTACAGAATTTCTAAGAACTGGCTTCCTCCACTGTAAAGACTTTTCTAACTATCCTGTCTTCCATCACACGCACATG